AAGCCTCGTTTCTACATCTTCCCGAGGCAAGCGTGTCCACTTGCCTATATCAAAGCCTCGTTTCTACATCTTCCCGAGGCAAGCGTGTCCACTAGCCTATTTCAAAGCCTAGTTTCTACCCTTGCCACATCAAGGCCACTTTTCTTGGCTCAACCCTGGTGCCACCTTGTGTAGATCACAAGTTGTGCCCCTTGTGATGAAAACGCGATATCCAATAAGATCGCTGTTCTTATCAATGCTTCATAAAGATGGCGACTACCATAGACAACGACCTAGTCGAGCAGATAACGAAAACATTAGCGATTTCTCCCCTGACACAAAACCATAGGCAATCTTTGGGGGGTTTAAAAAAAAAAACATATTCGAGTCAACAAAGACAACAAAGAAGGTGTACCAATCGTGGATGTTGATTATGTGAAACATTCTCTGATTGGACTATCGATATGTCAATACTCCAATCATATTTAGCACAGGAAAGTGGACTTGATGAGGCAAGGGTGGAAACAAGACTTTGATAAAAAGGCTTATGGAAGCTCTTGCCTCGTAAAGATGATGACACCAGGCTCCCCCCCTAGTTTGCACTTAAGTCAAGGACATGATTCCCATGAGAAACAATTCTGTAACGAAGTGAGAAACAATTCTGTAACGAAGTGAGAAACAATTCTGTAACGAAGTGAGAAACAATTCTGTAACGAAGTGAGAAAATTATTTAACGAAGTGGGAAACAATTCTGTAACGAAGTGAGAAACAATTCTGTAACGAAGTGAGAAACAATTCTGTAACGAAGTGAAAAACAATACTGTAACGAAGTGAGAAACAATTCTGTAACGAAGTGAGAAACAATTCTGTAACGAAGTGGGAAACAATTCTGTAAAGAAGTGAGAAACGAAAGGACTGTGTATAATTAACATATGTACTGTGACAAAATAAGGTCAGTCCCCCTACTGTCCAAACCTATATACTAACATGGCATAACCGCAACACTGTTCTTCAATGCCATGCACATGTGTCTGAATATCTTACTGGGCTGTAATGTTCGAAACACAATACCCATGACCTCAGTCAAGTGGCAGGAGCGAACAGATGACATCCTGCTCAGAACATGTTATAGAGTTTCAGTCGTAGACTTTGTAAACAATAAGATGCCGTGACTCAGTAGGGACTCTGGACTAGAAGATCCCCAGCATCCTATACTTGTAACAGGCTCTGTGATTGCATGTGGTGGATCATTGCTTATAATTTCAATCACAAGTTGTCTAAACAACAAACAAAATGTACCATGCAGGCTAGACAATCAGAAAGTTTGTTTGTTGTTTAATGCCACACTCAACAATATTCCAGCTATATGACAGCGGTCTGTAAGTAATCGAGTCTGGACCAGACAATCCAGTGATTGATATTAGCATCAATATATGAAATTGGGATATAATGACATGCATCAACCAAGTCAGCAAGCCTGACGACATGATCCTGTTAGTCGCATATAACGACTAACATAGTCGCCTCTTATGACAAGCTTGAGTTGCTGCAGACCTATTCTACCTCAGTTTCCTAGGGTACTGCATCTCCATTCTATTAAAATAAATACCAAGGAGCCTGTTCCACAAATCGATCTTTGTGCTATGATTGTCATAAGCCTGTTTTAAAGTATGGGAGTTACAATCATCTTAGCGCTATCAATTGTTGTAAGCCTGTTTTAAAGTATGGGAGTTACAATCATCTTAGCCCTACCAATTGTTGTAAGTCTGTGTTAAAGTATGGGAGTTACGATCATCTTAGCGCTACCAATTGTCGTAGTCTGTGTAAAAGTTTGGGAGTTACGATCATCTTAGCGCTACCAAATGTCGTAAGCCTGTTTTAAAGTATGGGAGTTACAATCACCTTGCGCTAACAATTGTCATAAGCCTGTTTTAAAGTATGGGAGTTACGATTGTCTTAGTAGCTACCAATTGTCGTAAGTCTGCGTTAAAGTATGGGAGTTACGATCGTCTTAGTGGTACCAATTGTCAGAAGTCTGTGTTAAAGTATGGGAGTTACGATCACCTTAGCGCTACCAATGGTTGTAAGCCTGTTTTAAAGTATGGGAGTTACGATCACCTTGCGCTAACAATTGTCATAAGCCTGTTTTAAAGTATGGGAGTTACGATTGTCTTAGTGCTACCAATTGTCAGAAGTCTGTGTTAAAGTATGGGAGTTACGATCACCTTGCGCTAACAATTTTCATAAGCCTGTTTTAAAGTATGGGAGTTATGATCACCTTGCGCTTACAATTGTCATAAGCCTGTTTTAAAGTATGGGAGTTACGATCATCTTAGCGCTACCAATTGTCGTAAGTCTGCGTTAAAGTATGGGAGTTACGATTGTCTTAGTGCTACCAATTGTCGTAAGTCTGTTTTAAAGTATGGGAGTTACGATCACCTTAGCGCTACCAATTGTTGTAAGCCTGTTTTAAAGTATGGGAGTTACAATCACCTTGCGCTAACAATTGTCATAAGTCTGTGTTAAAGTATGGGAGTTACGATCACCTTGCGCTAACAATTGTCATAAGCCTGTTTTAAAGTATGGGAGTTACGATTGTCTTAGTGCTACCAATTGTCGTAAGTCTGCGTTAAAGTATGGGAGTTACGATCATCTTAGCACTACCAATTGTTGTAAGTCTGTGTTAAAGTATGGGAGTTACGATCACCTTGCGCTAACAATTGTCATAAGCCTGTTTTAAAGTATGGGAGTTACGATTGTCTTAGTGCTACCAATTGTCAGAAGTCTGTGTTAAAGTATGGGAGTTACGATCACCTTGCGCTAACAATTTTCATAAGCCTGTTTTAAAGTATGGGAGTTACAATCACCTTGCGCTAACAATTGTCATAAGCCTGTTTTAAAGTATGGGAGTTACGATTGTCTTAGTGCTACCAATTGTCGTAAGTCTGCGTTAAAGTATGGGAGTTACGATCGTCTTAGTGCTACCAATTGTCAGAAGTCTGTGTTAAAGTATGGGAGTTAGGATCAACTAGGCACTACCAATTGTCGTAAGCCTGTTTTAAAGAATGGGAGTTACGATCACCTTGCGCTAACAATTGTCATAAGCCTGTTTTAAAGTATGGGAGTTACGATCGTCTTAGTGCTACCAATTGTCGTAAGTCTGCTTTAAAGTATGGGAGTTACGATCGTCTTAGTGCTCCCAATTGTCGTAAGTCTGCTTTAAAGTATGGGAGTTACAATCGTCTTAGTGCTACCAATTGTCGTAAGTCTGTGTTATAGTATGGGAGTTACGATCGTCTTAGTGCTACCAATTGTCGTAGTCTGTGTTAAAGTATGGGAGATACAATCATCTTAGCAGAAAGATCACTTTGTGGAACGGAACCCTGGACTATTCCCACCCACCATAGCTTTGTTTCAGAAGTCCGGGGGTCACAGATGTCCCCGTTGTTTAAACTGCCACAATTCGCTGTGCATCCCTTGTGGGTTCCAATCCAGGTTCACTCAAATCATGTTTCTAGGTTTGTCAGCGCCATATTGGTGCTCGTGGGTTTCACCAAAGTGGTAAACTTCTGAGACCTGCATCACCTCAGGCTTTCCTCCCACATTAAGCTGACACGCCGTGATATAACTGAAATACCGTTTAGTGTGGCGTTAAAACTGACTGACTGACCTACCATGACTGACTTATTGACTGACCTACCTTGACTGACTGACCTACCATGACAGACTGACCTACCCTGACTGATTGATTGACTGACCAACCCTGACTGACTGACTAATCTTCCCTGACTGACTGACTCACTCACTCACTGACTCACTCACTGACTCACTGACTGACTCACTCACTGACTCACTCACTCACTGACTCACTGACTCACTGGAACAAATGTTGACAAATTGTGCACTAAGTGGAATAAATTCCATCATCATTATCATCGTTATCATCGTCATCAGCAGCAGCAGCAGCTACAATCTGACCTCATTATTTACTGATTATTGTTGAAATTATTATTGTTCTGTCAACTGTTAGTAATAGTACTTTTTCATTTCAGTCACACTACAATGCCACTGATAGAGCTGTCAAGTCATTCCTCACACTCTGTACGTGTCGCTGGCCACAGAACAATTGATGACATCAGCCTTGAAATTTATAATATATATAGCGACTTGCATGCATATGTATGGCTGTTTGTGTGAGTCAGGACTATGGCATATCCTAGTTTCAACATAGATATCATTTTACAATATAACATGGGTACCCTATTCAGACACAATATATTGACTGATCCAACCAGGCCTTGTTTCATTTATCCCCTTAATGTCAGGGGGCAGGCAGGGTAACAACAAGTATCATCACACACATCAGAGTCAGATGCAAAGTGTTTCATTGAGATACACGGAGACAGACCACTGATACACTTAGTCAACTCATGACAAGCAATCACACAATACAGAGACCACCGACTCATTTAGTCAACTCATAACAAGCAATCAGACAATACACACAGTCAGACCAATGACACAATTAGTCAACTCTTGACAAGCAATCACACAATACACAGTCAGGCCACCAACACATTTAGTCAACCCATGACAAGCAACCAGACAATACAGAGACCACCGACACATTAAGTCAACCCATGACAAACAATCACACAATACACATAGTCAGGCCACCAACACATTTAGTCAACCCATGACAAGCAATCACACAATACAGAGGCCACCGACACATTTAGTCAACCCATGACAAGCAATCAGACAATACACACAGTCAGGCCACCAACACATTTAGTCAACTCATGACAAGCAATCACACAATACACACAGTCAGGCCACCAACACATTTAGTCAACTCATGACAAGTAATCACACAATACAGAGACCACCTACACATTTAGTCAACGTATGATAAGCAAGGCCACAGACAAGCTACGCCCATGCATCCCCACAGACGGAATACATGAGGATATCTAACACTGCGACAAACTACACACATTGATGGTAGCTTGTCCCCTTACCTGTCCTTCAACGCAGGCACATGGCTCATTTTCAAGGAGACTCAAAAGACTTCAATTTATCAGCACCTAGATAACGCCACTAAGAGCAGTTGAGCGAAGTGGGTTTGTAGGTTGTGATTGTGTGGAGGCCTGTTGACATATGAATAATGTGACACTGTAAACATCCCATCTGGGATTTGTAGAGCAAGTTGAAACACAGGGAGATCAGATTGTGAGGCCATGGATATCTTGCAGTATTCTGAACATTGCCATTGCCGAAGCCCATTATGTTTGCAAGAAAAGAGGCTCACAGAGACGTCATTAAACATGTAGGTCACTGTGCCATTGTCTAGCACATCTTAAGTGTTGGTAAGTTTTCAACGCGTCTGTTGACTCACCTTTAGTTACATGATGCATTCAGCCTTAGAAATTTGTTCTTTATAGACGAGTCAATGAGAACTGCTGTGTATATAAAGCAGTTTATTACATACATAATTACAGAAAGAAGCTAAAATATATGATATGTGAAACTCCCTTCCCAGCTGAAGTAAAATACTTGTGAAATCCCTTTCCCAAATGAAGTTGAAACCCCCGCCCCGCTGAAGTTAAAATACATATGAAACCCCCTCCCTGCTGGAGTTAAAATACATGTGAAACCCCCTTCCCCACTGAAGTTAAAATACATATGAAACCCCCTTCCCAACTGAAGTTAAAATACATGTGAAACCCCCCTCCCGGGTGAAGTTAAAATACATCATGTGAAACCTCCTTCCCGGCTGAAAAAATATACATAATGTGAAACCCCCTTCCCGGCTGAAGTTAAAATACATAATGTGAAACCCCCTTCCCGCCTGAAGTTAAAATACATAATGTGAAACCCCCTTCCCGGCTGAAGTTAAAATACATAATGTGAAACCCCCTTCCCGGCTGAAGTTAAAATACATAATGTGAAACCTCCTTCCTGGCTGAAGTTAAAGGGGCACTGATCTAACGCAATTCCCCGGGACTGGTTGTTGCCTTTGTTATTGTTTTTTCCCAGTGAATACCCGGATGTATAGCAGAAATCTAGACTAGTTCGCGACCTCTGCTGCGCCATTCGTAAGCGCATTAGTCACTTGGGTAGTAATAAGGGCGTGTGGTCACATTGATCAACAAAATGAAATACAGTTTTCGAGATAATAAGGAAATGTAGGTATCTTTGTGAGTAGCATCAGTAATGGTGACGAAGTTTTGATAAGTCACTTGCTTGGTAATTTTGCGATTTTCGTTTACACTATTCATGCTATTTTGACTTGCAACACAAAGTATATAATTCACCTGAGCATATGCTTTTTTTATAGTGTGTATATTTTTTTTTACTGTCAAATGTGTAACAAATTTATTAAACGTCTAAATATTCAGTTATTTTACAAAGTGACTGAAAAACATTTCCATCTGTATTATTATGACAACGAATTCCAAACATTTTGATGTTTAAAGGGGCACTGATCTAACGCAATTCCCCGGGACTGGTTGTTGCCTTTGTTATTGTTTTTTCCCAGTGAGTACCCGGATGTATAGCAGAAATCTAGACTAGTTCGCAACCTCTGCTGCGCCATTCGTAAGCGCATTAGTCGCTTTTATGGGTAGTAATAAGGGCGTATGGTCACATTGATGAACAAAATGAAATACAGTTTTCGAGATAATAAGGAAATGTAGGTATCTTTGTGGGTAGCATCGGTAATGGTGACGAAGTTTTGATAAGTCACTTGCTTGGTAATTTTGCGATTTTCGTTTACACTATTTTGACTTGCAACACAAAGTACATATTTCACCTGAGCATTGCTTTTTTTATAGTGTGTATTTATTTTTACTGTCAAATGTGGATCAAATTTATTAAACGTCTAAATATTCAGTTATTTTACAAAGTGACTGAAAAACATTTCCATCTGTATTATTATGATAACGAATTCCAAACATTTTGATGTTTAATGTCATCACCAAGAGACTGAAAATGTTACGTTGAGAAAAGTACATTTCTATGTTGTTTGGCTTCTAATCCTACATAATAATCTGTTGTGATGTTTGTAGGCCCTTTTGATCGTCTTAATCAATCTGGACAGATTTTTTAGTCAAAATGACGGAAATATTTACACATTTTATAAATTGCCTGAGAGAATCACATTTTACAAATTGACGGTAATATATACACGCTTACAAAGGAAAAGACCTGTGTAAACGACGTCTATCGCGCAGTGAAGAATTTCCCAACCAAGACGTAGAGAAACAAGAACGAATCGGTTCAAAGGAAGGAAAACAAAATGCAAATATCATAATTACAACCTACCAAATTTATGTGTATAAATTTTAGGCAGCGTCCTTGTTCGAGGAATGTATCCGTGAATATCCACACAAAGGAACAATATCCCACTCGTCTGCAGATGTACAAAGAAACTTATTCGATGTCACGTGTCTCAGTAACAATCAATTATTTTAAAAGATATATGTCGTTTCGGGATATTATAACCCGTGTCTGTTTCTCAACTGATCACTTGGATTGTTTCAGGTGTTTTACATAGGTGTCAAGTCTCAATGGTCGGCTGAGAAAGCCCACGTGACAATTATTTTCATGACGTTCACGGTTCCTAAAAAAAACATTTAGTGATAGATAACAATGATCAATCAATCAACGTATTATAAGTTAACCCTTTGAACAAAGTATGTTGTTTTTACATCGGCACTTCACGCCATGGTATGAGTGTATTCTCTTTGTTTTAGTAAACCTAGACATGTAAACACTCACTCTTGACATATCCACTGTGCAAGATAACAGTGATTAATCAATCAACGTATTTTCTGTTAATCCTTTGATGACTAGGAACGTTCCGTTGATTTACAAAAAAATAAATCAACTGATCATTCATCTCTTGCTGGGCTGCCACGTGCATATTACATAACACACATATCACCTCACTTCAAACCTGGATTTAGATTGAATAATTACCCCAGACACAATAAATGCCAAATGGGAACCTTTGTCAGGTAATCTAAGTGGTGCTACCACTAATTGTACCTGTAATAAATTCATTAACTGAGCATCAAGTGAATGACGACAAATACACAAGTGAAGGGTTATATACGAGAAAACGTGGATGTCAACAAGGGAGTAGTAATCGTATTATCGACGCAAGCCGAAATCCGAAAATGCTTTCACTGCATGGATACTTTTTTTTAGTTTAAAACTATAACCATCTGGGGTATTTCCAAATGACGACATCCGATGAGCTCCGCTGTTCTTTTTGTCTGCTTGTTTAGGCTGAAGAAATTAATTAACATGCGCCCTTTGTCGAAATCTGTATAGATCACAGTTAACCAATCAGTGTTTATGCAAAAATGCGTAAAACAAATATTCCCTCCAGCCTCCAAGTTTATTTAGCTGTCCTTGCAGACGTTGGCCCAGTCTCTGGTCACGCTCAGTTGCGTTGCGTATCATCCGGGTACTCACGGGGGAAAAAACAATAACAAAGGCAACAACCAGTCCGGGGAATTGCGTTAGATCAGTGCCCCTTTAAAATACATAATGTGAAACCTCCTTCCTGGCTGACGTTAAAATATACTAGCCACATTAAGAAACTGTGCACGGAGAAAATATATTCTGGATTGAAATAAAACACAGCAAGAACAAAATGATGCAGAAGCTGTAGCAGCTGAATGATCGGACCATAAGAAAATGTCAACGGGACCTGAACAACATCTGTTACGATGACGTCGGAAGATCAAACTGGAGTAGGGGGTCATACGACAAAGTCACAAAGTCAATAACGGGTATGACCACCCTGTGCGTGAATCACAGCAGTGCATCGGCGATGCATGGAGTCCACCAAATGGGCATGGAAGGCCTGGGGAATGGCCTGCCATATCCTCCTCAAATCCTGTGCCAAGTCACGGACGTTATCTGGAGGATGTGGAAGACGACGCAGACGGCACTCCATTTCATCCCACACATGCTCTATTGGGGAGAGATCTGGAGAAACTGCAGACCATGGCAGTAACATGACATTGTTATGGTGAAGGAAATCCATTGCGACCCTAGACGAGCGTTGTCCTGTTGAAATGTCAATCCCGGGCCATGACGTTGCAGGAAAGGAATGACCACAGGCCTCAGAATCTGATCTCTGTAGCCAACACCGGTTATATTGCCCTGAACAACAACCAAAGGGGTTCGGTGCCGTGCTGTTATCCCACCCCAAATCATCACAGAGCCACCTCCAAAACGATTCCTCTCCACAATACAGTTGCGTGCATAACGTTCTCCCAAATGCCGGTAGACACGTTGGCGCCCGTCACTGTGGGAAATGTTGAACCTCGATTCATCTGTAAAGACAACATTTCTCCACCATATTCGAGGTTGGCGAACATGATTTCGACACCATCTTAGACGGTTGACTCGATGATGGTGTGTCAGGATGGGACGATTCCTGACAGTATTGGGATGGATACGGCGCAGTCCAGGAATTGTCTGTGACGTCGTTACTGCCGTTTGGAACCTGTGTCGGAGATGTGTAACTCGAATCGATCTGTCCTGTCTTGGCGTCGTTACTCGGGGACGTCCTGAACGTGGGTGATCGGCAACGTCATTTGTGTTCTGATAACGCCTCACCAATGCCGATATCGTGTTACGATGGCATTGGAAATGTGTTGCCACCTGTTGTTGCCTCATTCCCGCTCGGATCATTCCAATGGCTTCAATCTTGGCATGATTTGCTTGTGTTATGCTTGTGTCTGCGCCTGAGAAGTTTTGAATTTTTGAATGACCACAGATCATGCTTTCCAAAGTGACAGCGAATTTTGAGTTGCACATGCTGTGTACAGCTGCACAGGATGCACGTGCAGTAAAACATTGCACGTCCATAGGCCCCCATCAATGACGTCATATCGCATGGCACGTGCATGAGCGTTTGAATGTCTCCAATAATTGCTGTGTTCAAACCTATATTTCATATATGGACGGTGTGCCCTTATATCTATATTTTCTTCGTGCACAGTTTCTTAATGTGGCTAGTATACATCATCATCATGATGTGACTGCAGCAGACAGGCTCACACTGTGGAGGTCCAACCCTCTCTAACCTACCTCGCTGACCACAGACAGTAAGTACATGGCTTCACATCCTCCACTTTTTCCCTCATGATGTGCCTTGTGTTCAAACATAACTGTCAAACAACGTTAGGCCAAAACATAGAATTGTATGTTTCAGCAAGCCCAATCTGACCTCCCAAATATTTTTTATCATTTCTCAACATCTGACACTGAAAATACCATATATTTTTTTAGTATAGTGCGCACCTAAGTATAATGCGCATCCCCCTCTAGCAGATTCAGTATTTTTGAAAAATATTATGCGCAGAAGAAAATTAAATTGTACCCCCTTCAGTGAATTCCGGTAAACGTGCAGGTGATAAGAAATTTGGTCAGTACAAATTTGAAATTAAAAAAAACCTGGTACCATGTTATCAAATTTATATCAATACACAAGTTAGTCAGTGTCTGGTTATAAAAGGT